TCCATTTAAGCCCCTATTTATCAGAACATAAAATAAAATACTTACTCTTTTTATGCAAATGTTAAAAAATTTCAAGAAATTAAGAAATTTTAATTGTAAACTAAATTTTTTTAAGGGATTTCCATGCTAACTGGTTTTTCCGTAATCGTGATATCGGAAATTTTTCATTACGTTCAATTGCCACCAGTTATATGCAAATGGCGTAAGTTCAACTTATTCTATTCTGATGGTATATTATACTTTATTATTAATTACAAAGTGAGTCCATGAAAAAAAATCATTATAAAAATATGTACTTTGAATGAAAATTAGACTTAAAAAATCATTTACTTTTTAAAAACACAAATTTTTGTTTAAAGCATTCTACTTAATTTGAGAATGAATTTTATAATCATTTTTTTATAAAGTTTGAACATTTTTTACCTACAATTTTTTACCTAATATTTATAGATGACATAAGTGTTATTAATTATGTTGGGATCATCTTTTATTGATTCATCAATTACTCATCATCCAAAGAAGACTAAAATACAGTCATACCGCTATTTTTAAAGAAACTTACTGCATTAGAGTATATGTCTGATGTGGTGAATAACTTACTGCAGCAGAATAGAGTTTATGTGTGATGTGGTTACTTGTTTGATGGGTCAAAGTAACTTTATTTATAAATAAACAACTTTTATCAACTTTTTTTCATTTATACATCATTTTAACTAGCTAATATAGCTTTTTTGCTGTTTGATTTTTGTTCAATTTTCATTTCATTTTTAATCATGTGTGTAATCACACAAGCAATTTTTTATTATTAAGTTAAGACCATCTTGTATTGATATTTTAACATGATTATATATTTATACAACTAACCGCCTCTCTCGTGTTTTTAGAGTTTATGTGTGATGTGATAACTTTAAACATGATTATATATTTATACAATATACCACCTCTAACGTTTTTTTTTCAATTTCGATTTTGATCGAAATTGGAAAAAAAAACGTTAAAGTATTTTTACAAAATGACACATTGTGAGAAACGCATTCCATATCATAGGGCTCAAGTCCTAATATATGAAAAGGCCTAGGTTTTACATAACTTTTTTTTACATTTTTAGACGCAACACCTACGATACTTATATATTCTGCAAAAAAAGTTGTGTGCAACTTTCTGTCGTTAGAAATAACTTCTATTTAAAATTCACAAATCTGCATGTGTTTATACTTTTGAAGTATGATAACTAGCCAACTGCATATTTTTACGCAACCTTTTCATATTTTTTAGAAAGAGCCTATGGGGTACGTCTGATATTAACTAAAAAAAGTTATGTGCAACTTCTTGTCTTGCTAAAAAAATGTAGTCAAAGATGGCAAAATGTTTGTTTTTGCTTATTAATATATTTTTATTTTGTCATAATTTTTGCCGCAGAAAGTTACAATTTATAAAATAACATAAATAATAAAACAAATGGCTGGAGCATGAAGAAGACATCAGTTTGTCTTATCACCGAGACCCATTGTGACTTTACAGGTCGTTTTTTACAATAAAATATATAAAATCTTGATAAATGCTTGTGATAAATTACATAAAAATGTGTAAAACTACGTTTCACAATTGATATAGCTGTTTATATATAAATTCATGTTGTAAAATAAATTTAGAACAAGTAAAAGTTAAAGCAAATAAAAGAAATAAATTGTGCTAGTTTATATTATTTTACTAAAAAAGAAAAAAAAAATTTAAGTTCGTAGATAATAAAAAACGCTTTGATTCAAATTTAAACTGTTGAAGTGTATTTTTTTTGATAGTAACAATCAGGGAAAAAAATTTCCACAAATAAGGTCCGCGGTGTTGGATTGAGTATGAGTTCAACTTTAATGTAAATTTTGGGATGTTATATGAACAAAGTTGTTATATGAGAATCTAGTAGGGTATTAATGACTTATTTCTCTAAAATAAGGTTGAAATATCGGCGGAGATAGTCCATATTTTATTTTGTACATGTGTTGTAAAACAAGATGTATGTTAATTTTGTATATATTCAACGCTCCAAGTTTGCAAAAGAGAGGTTCACATGACACTTTTTAAAAAGAACTCTACAGTAAACAAAAATTCTATTTTTGTTTACTGTAGAGTTTTTTAAGCTTAGTATAATTTGTGCTTGCCCGGGTCATGTTACCATAGCTCAGGTGACTATGTATTAATGAAAAGTATAAACTTTTTAAGGAAATGATATTTAGGAAAGGTTTTGCTTTATACATTAATGAAATGTTTCTTGAGAGCTTTCTCTCTAAAGTGTTTATATGGAGCTTCCACAAGTTTAATTCAACAATTTTTAAAAAAACGTCTTGAAAACGTTTTAGAGTTGGATTCCAAGCAAAAGAAACTTTTTCGTAATTTGTAATTTCGTAATTTTGTAAACCCTAACAGGTTTTCTGTTAGGATTTACAAAATTACGTAAAATATTATTGAGCAATTTTTTTTTGTAAGTTACTAAAACTGTTTTATTATATTTATTTTGACACTTAAATCTAATAGAATAAAAAATATCACATCAATAGAAGTTTTACATTTTATTTCAGAAACAAAACAATAATATTAAGAAAAGGTTGCAGCTATCGAAATAACAGTCATATCTAAAAATGAAATTTTATTTTTCCAGAGTTAAAAGCATTAAAAAAGTTAATTTTTTAACATTAAAAAGTTAAAAATAAGTATAATATAATAATATTTACCCTTAGTATTTTGTTGCAAAATCTTTGTTTTAAATAACGGTTTCGCAACGCCGATACATCGAGTCAACAAGGCATTGACATTTTTCTTCGGGTATTGCGTACCATGCTTGTTGAATATCTATCCATAACTGCTAGGCATTAGTTGAATTAGCAACAGAAACTGCTTTTTTAACGTCTCCCCATAAAATTTCAATGGAGTTTAGGTCGGGTGACTGACCAGGCCACTCTATAACCTCAACCCCATTGATCTGAAACCACTCCTTTGCCTTATGACTAGTGTATTTTGGGTCGTTGTCTTGTTGTAAGACCCATTTTAGCGGCATATCTTCAACAGCATAGAGCAGCATGATATTATTGAGTATTTTGACATATATATATTGGTCCATGATACCATTAATCTAATAAATAGGGCTGACACCATTATACGAGAAGCGGCTCCATACCATGACTTTGGCTCCACCATGCTTTACAGACTTTATGGTATACTTTTTCTAAAATTCTATATTAGCTGGACGTCTAACGTATTGTCTTGTACCTTTATAAAGAACATTTGAAATCATCTTTGCTGAACATCCGAGAATATTTTGTATATATGAGATAAATTTTTTCTCTAAGATGCTTCAAAATATTGTTGCGTTCTGTTGGTGTACAATGACATCTTTGGTCCACTTTGAAAGGTTTAGAAAAAGTTTTTACCATTGAGCATACACAAATAAATAAAGTATATATTATAATTGAAGTTATACTTACTTTTCCTGTAAAATTTACGAAAAATTCTTTAAAGTTTGTAAACTAACTTTAAAACCAATTCAACCACTGCTATTTTAATTCATTCTCTCAATTACAATACTTCTATATATCTATATTTTTTACTTGAATATATTTTTTTTATTTGAATATATCCGGGATTCCTGTTAATGATATCGGTGTAATGTTTCTTAAACGGTACTGCATTCCTAAAAAAGTAGCGGGAAATTTAAATGTTTTTTTTTAAAAAAATTAAAAACGTATAGTGACTCAGTCTAAGTTTTTAACTACTTCAAATATTTTTTCTAAGGGTTGCGCTTCTATTTTGGAAGTGAACATTTAAAGCTGTATTTTGATTTGTTATATACTACTTTGCTCTACTTTGCGACTACTTTTTTGTTGTACTGTTATATTTAGCATTCTCAATTTTTATCATATTGTGCTGGATATTGCTTGCACTAAAGTGCTCATATAAAATAAAAAATTTGGTGGTTAAAATAAAAACTTTAGTTAAAATAAAAAATTATGATAAAATAAAAACTTTGGTGGCTAGTTAATTAAAAAAAAAAAAAAAAATGTAGGTTTTATAAATGTATAAAACGGTGCATACCATACATTAATAAACTATGGTAATTAAAAAGAATTTAAATATTTATCTTTATTCTTCATAAAATCAAATATTTGAGCTGTGGTATCTTTATTTTCATATTTAAAAAACCCACAAGAGAAGCAACCTTAGCAGATGCCAAGGTTGCTTCTCTTTATCATTTTCTCTCTACTGATTCCATTCTCTACCTCTGCAAATCTCTTATTCTTCTATGTACGAAATACTGTTGTCATATTTGGGTCCAATAGACAAGGTCCAAAAATGCATCATAAACGTAGTTGGACCCAGTCTATCTGCTAAGCTTGAGCCTCTTTCCCATCATCATAAAGTTGCATCTCTTTCTCTTTTCTGCAAATATTATGATGGCCATTGCTCAAAGAGCTTTCATCTTTAGTTCCATCAACTAAAACTTATTCTTGCTTGACTCATCGTTCATCAAAGTCTCATTATTTTACTGTATTTGTCCCTGCATGCTCCAAAAACTTTTATTTGTGTAGCTTTTTTCCCCACACTTCAACCCTTTGGAACTCTCTCCCATCTTCATGTTTTCTTGACTCATGCAACCTTCATCTTTTTAAATCTTCTGTCAACTGTTTCCTTGCTCTATAACTCTATTCTTTTTTTCTAGTAACACCCAACTTAATAGTGGTTGCTTGCAGCCTTGTTGGGAGTGAATCAGAATAAAAAAAAATCATTTTATAAATTAAAGTGCTTAGTTATTTATTTTTATTAATTCATATTTTTGTTCTTACTCTCCCCCTTTTTTTGAATTGAAGTCTTATTGTTTCTTAACACATTATTGATGATACTTTTAAGTTATAAATATAAGTAATTTTTCTGAGGTTTTTGTTAAATGTTTTGATAATATATTAAAAATCAAAAATCAAGTTTTATTCTTTTATTAATAATTGTTTTTTTAGAATAAAAGAATTTAATCAAGAAAATGATTTTATGTAATTGAATTGTCAAATGGATTCACCAAAACCTTTCTTAAGTAAATAATTTTATTTTTTAATTATTAAAAAATATTGATAAACTATCTAGTTATTATTCTAATAGAAATTTTTAATATATATATATATATATATATATATATATATATATATATATATATATATATATATATATATATATATATATATATATATATATATATATATATATATATATATATATATATATATAAACATACATATATAAACACAGACACATAGATAGCGTTCAAAAGTATTTTTACTACTAGTTTTTACTTAAAAAAAATATTGACTCAAAGTGGAGATCATTTTTTCACAAGAGCCTAATTTTTTGATGAAATACAAGATTTCATGACGAATAATGATCAGAAATAACATCAAGAAGAGTGCAGTCTTAAGATGAAGGAGAGCAATATAGAACAAAGTTAAAGGCAATAGAGTGAAGTGGTGCTAAACGAAAACAAATAAAAGAGAAGTCTGTGGATTAAACCTAGTTTCCTGACAAATGAGTGAATTTTTACAAATGTAAATGCCCAGACCTAGCATCTGGCTAATGGAGTCTTTACAAGTTAAAAAAAGATAACCATCAACACTAAGATCACAAGATGAGACAGCTGAACTCAAGTTAGTCTCACAAAGAGCAAGTAGGTCTGGTGAACTTTGCAAGAGATAAGACTCAGAAGAAAATACCTCATATTGCCAGAACAAAATATTTGGATAATATTTTGTTCTGGCAATATGAGGTGAGGATGGGGGGGGGGGTTGTTAAATAGATCCTCTTCCTACCTGTACTTTTCCTATTGTTTAAACAATATATAAAAAATATCGTCACAATAATAATTTTTCAATCACTCTTTTTTTACACCTTGTTAAGGCATTTCTTTGAATACATGAATTTACCTGTGGACATAAGCATATTTTACTTTAGTTATGTTAAAAAATACTAATTTATTAAAGATTTTAATAAATACTCATGTTGCAAATGCTATTTATAGATATTTATTGAAAATTTTTTTAAGTACTTTAAATATTTAGTATCTATATTTTATTAATTTTAATTTTAGTAGTTATTATATGTTTTGAATACTTTAAACAATTTTTAATCAATATTTATCATTTCTGAAGTATTTTCAAAATTTACATAATAGTAATTACTGATCTCAAATTTTATTATTAATTAAGCTAAAAAGAATATGGAAAAATAACAAAACTTAGTGAAAAAGTTTTTGTTTTGTTTTTCCTTTTTACTGATGAAAAATAAAATAGTGAGGTAAAGATTAAAAGTTCATTAATTTAAAAATTAAATTTGTGAAATAAATAAATTGTATTAAGACTAATATTTTTACATTTACGATTAAAAATATTTAATAACAACTCCTTATTGCCAACAAACAAAAGTTAACTTTACTAACAAACAAAAGTTAACTTATTGCCAACAAACAAAACTTTACTTGGAATTGATATTTAAATTTTTTTTTTAAGAAAACAGGTTGTTCATAAATTTCACTGTCTTTAAATTGAGTTTCAGAAAAAGTTTTTAAACTGAGTTTCATTACAACTTTTTAAATATAACGTTAGTTTAGTAACCTAGTGACAGTAATGCTAAACAAGTTACTCCATGTAAACACTTTTTAATTCATTTTATTGTTCTGAAGTAAAAATGAACTTGGTAAAATAAACAGAAAATTAGTTATTTACTATTGCAATTAATACTGAAACTTTTTTTCCTAATTTTAATGAAAAAGCAAAAAAAAAAAAAAAAAGATTAAACTTTTTTTTTGGGCCCAAACCATGCTCAAATATGTTCAACACTGTCAAAAATGATCTAGCATAGCCCTTTATAATGTATATTTTTTTATTCACTCAAACTCTATGAGCATGCATGGGCAGATACAGTAAAAGGATGTAACTTTGCTGATTGACGATTTAAGTGAAAATGACTTTTGGTTAATTGAACTAGAGATGATGGTATTTGTTGAAAAGAGAAAGGTCCAACTATGTTTACAATTTTTGCTTTGTTTAAAAGAGAAAGAGCATCATGCAAGAATGCAGCCCAAATATGTTAACAGTATTCTATAATGGGACAAATAAGAGATTTGTAGAGGTAGAGAATGGAATTAGGAGTAAAGTAATGGGGAGTATGATAATGAGAAGCAACCTTAGCAGATGGTAACTTTACAACTGGTTGTATATATGGTTCCCATGAGAGGTCAGTAGTAAACAATAATACAAGAAGATGAAAAGAAGAGGACTCAGTGAGGGTTGCCATTTTTTTTTTTTTTTATAATTATTCACCTCCCCAAGGCCCGAGGGGGCCACTACAATCGAGGAGGCTACTCATTTTGTTGTGGTTGTTGTTGTTGTTGTTGTTATTGTTGTAAATAGTGGTACAACCCTCTCTCAACTCTTTAACTCCGAAACACGAACCTTGACAAGCAAGGCCGCTGCGCGGAGAAATTAAGTTGAGCGCGGTACTTCCAGGGACATGGTGGGAGTCGAACTCCGAACCTCTCGCTTACAAAGCGAGCGCTCTTACCACTACACCACTACCGCATATTTTTTTAGAATCTAATTAAAAAGGTTTGTTGTATTTTTTTTTTTTTTAAAGAAACTAGGTGGTAGCTCTCAGAGACGCTGATTCCATCAACAGCTGTAAAATATCAGAGTATTAACAGTGCCATGTTGTACATGAATAATGCTTTTGACGCACAATGTTGAAGATATATACAGAGCCCAAAGTTACGACTACAAGTAAATTAGCAAGACTGAAACAACTGCATAGTTCACTGCTTGGGATGCTGTGCTCTAACTGTTAATGAGTCAAATTCTCTTTAAACTTAAACCATACCCAAAGCAACCAAAAATATGAAATATAAAAAACCATCCCCGCTATCAACAGTTTCATTATATCACAAATACTTGAGTTCTTTGAAGTAACTTTCCATCAGTTAAATCTTACCTCTTGGAAAAATCTTGCTTTTAAAAAATCTTACTTCTTGGAAAAATCTACTTGTAAAAATAATTTAAATTTGGTTATTTCTACTTCAGATCTCAGTATTGATAAGTATTATTCTTTGATTCGCAAAGACTTTAATAGTCGCATGCTTGGCCTGGAGGTAAACTTACGCCTCCATTCACCTAATTATCAAAAAATCAGGTATGAATTCTTTTCACTTATTCACCTTTTTCTTTGTTCTTCATCATTCTCCTTCTTCTTAATACTGCACTCTTTTAGATGTAATTTCTGATCAAATTGATCATGCCCTTTCTCGTTACTCCATTGCTATTATTGATGTTAATAATATCTTTTATGATTATCACAATGAATGGCTAGGCTTTAACACCACTCATCCTCCTGACACTAAAGCCCATAACTTCTGTATTATTTAATCTCTTTCTTAGATAGTCAAATTTGTGACTTGTTTTCCAGACAACCCTAATCACTTACCTTCATTCCTTGATTTGTGTCTTGACTGTAGTTTGTGTTCGGTTTCTCCTTGTTCTTCTTTAGATGGTTCTCACCATGAGATGATCTCTTTAAATCTTTTTTAAATTTCGTACTTTTATTTCGAACTCACCCTATCATCGCACTACTTACTACTACCCTAAAGCTGACTGGAATTCTTTTTTTAATCATGACAGCCCTTGGGGTTGATGTCTTTTCTCTCCCCACTGATAAAAGCATCTACTTTGTAGCTTTGTGGATCCAGGCAGGTATGGAAGCTTTTATTCCTTCTCATTGGTTCAAAGTCAAGCCTAATTCTACTCCACTGGTTTTATCTTCTTGTTTTATTGCCATATCATAATTATTTTCTTTTTTTTTTCCAAAAGAACAGCACTATTTAAAACAAACACCTTTTTATAATTGTAAGAAATTAATGTAAAAAAAGTGCTGCCTGATGCTAAGCTTCATTATTCACAATTTACTAAATTTCATATTTTATCTCAGAAATAAGGCTCTAAAGACTTTTGAAAAATTATCACCAGCGTCATAGGTAAGTCTAACATTCCAACTTTAATTCATGGGATTGATCTTACTACTTCTCTCATAGATAATGCTGAAATATTTGCAAAGATACTTGAATTTGACTCTTGAATCTTTTGACCATATGACCACTCTTGCTTTCATTCCATTTTAAACAGGTTAACTCATTGTTTAAGACATTGACATTCAAATCAGCTCCTGTTGCTAAAGTCATGTCTCAATTAAACTCTTCTATGGCTTGTGGCCCAGACAACATTCCTGTCATAGTGTTACAAAAGTGTTCTCTGGTACTCTCTTCAATTCTCACTAAACTATTTAATAAGTCCTTAACTGAACCTTGTTTTCATGCTTGCAGGGAAATGACATCTGTGGTTCTAATTTTAAAAATGTGATGAACTTTCATTTATTTTTGGATGTCTTCTTTCTGTTATTAGCAAAGTCTTTAAGTCTTTATTCAACAAATTTTTAACATTCCATCTTGAGTTAAATAAATGTTATTATTGTTAAGCAATCAATATGGCACCAATATTGCCAACTTTTTTTTCTGATTTTTTTTGTATTATATTTTTAGAATCTAATTAAAAAGGTTTGTTGTATTTTTTTTTTTAATGATTTTATTAAAAAATTAAATTCATTTTACTCATGAATTTTTGAATTAATTTTTTCAGAACTTAAGTAAAAGATTTTTATTATTTTAGTTAGAATTTAAATTTTTTTTGTTTATATTTTAATTGTTTTATATGAAATTTAAATAATTTTATTACAAGATTAAGGGTAGAACATCGAAGTACCCCAGAAGTTATTGGAAATGAATAAGAGTGTTGGCCTTCAAGGATGGTTTTAATAAATCTATTATAAAGAAATGATTTAATAATTTAAAAACAGCCTTTGGAGTTAGGGTTGGCTTTCTGCAATGCTGACCTAACTGCTGACCTGACAGTGTCTGAGGTCAATAAAATTATAAAAATATAGACAGCAAAACAAATGTTTTAAATTTAAACAAAATTTTTAAAATAAACTTGACAAAACAAATGTTTCATTTAAATTCTAAATGAATTTATTAAAAAAAAAAAAAAAAAAATGCCTTATTTAAATTTTATATAAAACAGTTACAATATAAACAAAAAAACGCATGTCTTATTCAAATTTCATATAAAACAATTAAAATATAAACAAAAAAACGTCTTATTTAAATTTCATATAAAACAATTAAAATATAAACAAAAAAAATTTAAATTCTAACTAAAATAATAAAAATCTTTTACTTAAGTTCTGAAAAAATTAATTCAAAAATTCATGAGTAAAATGAATTTAATTTTTTAATAAAATCATTAAAAAAAAAAAAAAAAAATACAACAAACCTTTTTAATTAGATTCTAAAAATATAATACAAAAAAAATCAGAAAAAAAAGTTGGCAATATTGGTGCCATATTGATTGCTTAACAATAATAACATTTATTTAACTCAAGATGGAATGTTAAAAATTTGTTGAATAAAGACTTAAAGACTTTGCTAATAACAGAAAGAAGACATCCAAAAATAAATGAAAGTTCATCACATTTTTAAAATTAGAACCACAGATGTCATTTCCCTGCAAGCATGAAAACAAGGTTCAGTTAAGGACTTATTAAATAGTTTAGTGAGAATTGAAGAGAGTACCAGAGAACACTTTTGTAACACTATGACAGGAATGTTGTCTGGGCCACAAGCCATAGAAGAGTTTAATTGAGACATGACTTTAGCAACAGGAGCTGATTTGAATGTCAATGTCTTAAACAATGAGTTAACCTGTTTAAAATGGAATGAAAGCAAGAGTGGTCATATGGTCAAAAGATTCAAGAGTCAAATTCAAGTATCTTTGCAAATATTTCAGCATTATCTATGAGAGAAGTAGTAAGATCAATCCCATGAATTAAAGTTGGAATGTTAGACTTACCTATGACGCTGGTGATAATTTTTCAAAAGTCTTTAGAGCCTTATTTCTGAGATAAAATATGAAATTTAGTAAATTGTGAATAATGAAGCTTAGCATCAGGCAGCACTTTTTTTACATTAATTTCTTACAATTATAAAAAGGTGTTTGTTTTAAATAGTGCTGTTCTTTTGGAAAAAAAAAAGAAAATAATTATGATATGGCAATAAAACAAGAAGATAAAACCAGTGGAGTAGAATTAGGCTTGACTTTGAACCAATGAGAAGGAATAAAAGCTTCCATACCTGCCTGGATCCACAAAGCTACAAAGTAGATGCTTTTATCAGTGGGGAGAGAAAAGACATCAACCCCAAGGGCTGTCATGATTAAAAAAAGAATTCCAGTCAGCTTTAGGGTAGTAGTAAGTAGTGCGATGATAGGGTGAGTTCGAAATAAAAGTACGAAATTTAAAAAAGATTTAAAGAGATCATCTCATGGTGAGAACCATCTAAAGAAGAACAAGGAGAAACCGAACACAAACTACAGTCAAGACACAAATCAAGGAATGAAGGTAAGTGATTAGGGTTGTCTGGAAAACAAGTCACAAATTTGACTATCTAAGAAAGAGATTAAATAATACAGAAGTTATGGGCTTTAGTGTCAGGAGGATGAGTGGTGTTAAAGCCTAGCCATTCATTGTGATAATCATAAAAGATATTATTAACATCAATAATAGCAATGGAGTAACGAGAAAGGGCATGATCAATTTGATCAGAAATTACATCTAAAAGAGTGCAGTATTAAGAAGAAGGAGAATGATGAAGAACAAAGAAAAAGGTGAATAAGTGAAAAGAATTCATACCTGATTTTTTGATAATTAGGTGAATGGAGGCGTAAGTTTACCTCCAGGCCAAGCATGCGACTATTAAAGTCTTTGCGAATCAAAGAATAATACTTATCAATACTGAGATCTGAAGTAGAAATAACCAAATTTAAATTATTTTTACAAGTAGATTTTTCCAAGAAGTAAGATTTTTTAAAAGCAAGATTTTTCCAAGAGGTAAGATTTAACTGATGGAAAGTTACTTCAAAGAACTCAAGTATTTGTGATATAATGAAACTGTTGATAGCGGGGATGGTTTTTTATATTTCATATTTTTGGTTGCTTTGGGTATGGTTTAAGTTTAAAGAGAATTTGACTCATTAACAGTTAGAGCACAGCATCCCAAGCAGTGAACTATGCAGTTGTTTCAGTCTTGCTAATTTACTTGTAGTCGTAACTTTGGGCTCTGTATATATCTTCAACATTGTGCGTCAAAAGCATTATTCATGTACAACATGGCACTGTTAATACTCTGATATTTTACAGCTGTTGATGGAATCAGCGTCTCTGAGAGCTACCACCTAGTTTCTAAAATCTTACTACCAGCAGGGCTCAGTACCATTAAACTAAGTTTTAGAGCTGTAACGTCCTAGGATATAACAGAAAGAATTGCTTAGCCACTATTAAGAAGGCACAAGTAAAAATCTATGAGTAGAGTCTAGAGGATCCTACATTTGTCATCCTATGCAGAAAACAACACAACTCAGGTTTACATCTGCGCTAGCCTAATATATAAAAAAGGGGTTTAAGGTAACAAAATCAACCTGGTTACCCCTAAAGTCTTTGCCTAGGAGGCCTTTTACAAGTCAGTAGATGAAGGACATTAAAATCTGCCCAAGATAAGCTTTTCTATTGAGACACCATCTCTAACCTTTACTCAACCAAGAGTCCCAAGGCAGGGGAGTTATAAGTCTGAGACCATATTTTAGTTGTATGGTCATGTATAAAATTTATTAAACATACTAATAATGTATATGTTATTAATTGTATGTGTTATTAGAGTCATTTTTATAAATTTTTTTTTTTATATTTGCATTTGGCTTATGGTCATTTATACAATTTATTAAACAGGCGTGTGGTCATATATACGATTTGTTAAACATACATACTAATGCATATAACTGTTTGTATTATTAGATTCATTTTTATTCATGTTTTTATTAACTCTTGTTTTTTATAATTGAGTTATTACTATGACTGTTGTAATTGGTTTTATTGATTTTTTTTAAGTTTCTTCAGCTGACGGATCAATAACAAAATTAAAATCTGTTAGAGAAATACGTATCTTTTCTTTTATTTAGTAATAGCTTAAAATTTATTTATATCCCCTTTCTATAGCTTCTATAGTTACAGGATAAATTATGTTAATAAGATAAAATACACTTGTAAGAGTAAATTATGAATAACTGTGTTTTCGTATTTTTATTGCAGTAAATGTTTTTTTGATGTTTTTATTACACTAAATGTTAGGAGAGCATTTTGATTCAATATTTTTTACAAATCAATGCATTTGAATCAAGTTAGAAAAAGGATAGGAAAAAAATACATTTGTAAACAAAAGTATAGTCAAAAAAAATCTGTTTATTCGATTTAACTCTCTTGCTTACGAAAGCTGCAGAAATCGGCTTTTCTTGTTTATTAGTTTTTAACATAAGCCATTAGTAGCAATTTTTAAATATGCTTCACTATTTATTATGTTATAAATTTTGTTTTTTGACACATTTTATTTGTTTTTTTAAAAAACTAAAATAGTTCTCTTCAGATTAATTAAAAAATGCAGATATATTTGTGTAATAACATTAAGTTATCCTATTAAAAAAGTTTCATTTTAAATGATGCTATCAGTACATAATTATAGAAATTTTTGTAAAGTGCTATCAATGTGAATATTTTAAAAGTATTATGTATTGTAAAAGAAGCTTCTAAAATAATGCTTGATTGGTTAAATTGTAGCAAATCAGAAAGAGAGTGCTTAAAGAAGTTCAAGCTTTAAATATCCAGAATATTCAGATCATATAGCATTTATTTTGATAATCTGACACATTTATTTTGTTTGCGCCCTTCTGAAAGGTGTGTGAAAGAAGTTCAAGCTTTCTTTTAGCTTTTGAGTTAGCTCGATGAAAATTTGTTTGCACTAATAAATTTTTACATTCAAATTTTTTTAGGTGGTTGGCTGTTGAATATTTTAACTATAAATCATACTAAGTATTAAAAATTTTTTTTTCTTGATAATGTTTCACAGCTGAAGAATACAGAAAAGTTTTCCCATTTCTATATTTTAATGCCTTACAATCGAAACTTTTTGATAAGGTAATTTTTAAAAAATTATATTTTAAAAACATTCACAAAAATAATTTTATTTTTAGGATTATTTGAGTTTTATTTTAGTATTATTGTTGTCTTTTATTTATACTTTTATTTATACTTTTTTAGTATTATTAGTGTCTTAAAAACGCAGTTTTAATATTATTGGTATCTTTATGATCTTAGTATTATTGGTGTATTTAGGATACTATCTTAGTGTTATTGGTGTCTTTAGGATGATATTCTAGTATTATTGGTGTATTTAGGATGTTATCTTAGTATTATTTCTGTCTTTACATTGCTATCTTAATGTTTTTAGTATTTAAACTTTTGGGTTTAATCAATGACCTCAAGTAATATTTTAATTTTGTAGTATACAAAGCTTATATATTTATATGTTTTTGTTTTAAATCTTTTACTTTTAACAATGTTCTTGTTGCTAATTATAATTAAATGTAGAATTGATGTTTTTAAGCCATATTAATTTTAAAATATTATGGATGTCTTGAGATGTTACTGATGTCTTTAGATGTTATTGGTATCCAGATATTTTTAATGTCTTCAGGTGTGGTTGGTGTCTTATGGTGTTAATTTTATTATTTTCTTTAGGTAATTTATAAAAAGACTTTGTTGTTGTCTAGGTAATGTATTCAGATAACCCTATTGTAGTTTGTTCTCCTACTGGATCAGGAAAAACAGTATTGTTTGAACTATGTATTATTCGTTTCTTACTGAAAAGTGGTGCCTCTCATTCCTTATACAAAGTTGTTTATAGTAAGCATTTTTATTTTAATATTTATAGTCTAATTTTTCAAAAATAATTCTATCATTTTTTAAATATATTTAAAAAAGTGATGTTTTGTTATATATTCAAACAGTGATAAAGTTATTTTGTTTTGTATAATGATTTCTACTGGTTTTTAATTTTTTTCCCCTTTAGAATGAAACAAATATCTTTAAAATGAAGCAATCATTCTAAAGGGAATATATGTATAATAGTTAAAATAATTAATAAAAGTTATTTTCCAGAAAGAAAAGACATTTCTATTTTTGTTACAATTTTTCAAAAATGGCAAGTTGTTTCAAATTCAAAACAACAATTAATCCAAATAAACTTTTAAAGAAACAAATAAAATGTGTCAAAAAACATAATATGCATATTGTTAATCGAACTTTTGCAAATAAATAAAATAATTTCTCCAAATTATTTGAACAATCAAAACAATCTTCATCTACTCTCATCCCAACTCTGTGTTGCCAAGCAATGCTTTTAAATAAGCTTATCGAAGAAATATGTGCTCACTTCATGACTTTAGGATGACCCTATTAGGCATAGATTTTTTCAATATCAACAGATGATTGGTGGGAGATTTTTAGTAAACTTTTACAGTGGTGGGAGATTTCTAGTAAACTTACTAGAAGTTAAACATTTATAAACTATATATAATTAAGAAGGTAAATTTTTAGGATAAAGATTTAAAGAATGACTATATTATCTTAGTTAACAATGAATTACTGACAACATTAGATTTAAACTTAAATGAGATATCTGAACCAACTATTTAACCTAAACAGAAGAAGGTGCAACAACAACTGTTATTTAAATAGCAAATAAAATGAAAAAATAAAACAAATGCAATGATTGCAAGTCTATGTTTGCTACATATACAAGTTATAATATTATTTGTCTATATCTACAAATACTTTCAAAAGGTCTTACTGCACTTTTAATATCAAGTATAATGTAATAGATCATTGTAACAATTTTTAATATGTTTAAGCGGTTTTTAATGTCAATTTTTGTGGAATATTTTAATATATAATTTTGAATAATAATGTGTAAAGGTAGAGAGTTTTTTTTTAATAAAGAGAGTTTGAGTTATTGGAAAGAAAAAATCTTAACTTTTTGCTGTGTAATTGGAGCAAGAAAACCACATGTATATTGGGTGGACACGAAAAAATCCAGTCAACTTTAAATTGAGATTTCTCTAAAACCACAAATGCTTTTTATTTCTTTTTTTTTTTTAATTAAACGTTACTTTCTTATCTTTAATGGCATTAATAAACTCAAGTTTACTAATCAATAATTCGCAAAAATTTTCGGAAACAAATTGATGTGCGTAAAAAAGTCGATTTCATTTTATTTAGAATTAAAAAAACAATCTTTCGATGTTTTTATTTTAGTTATTTTATTTAGAATTGAAATAAATCGCTTGTTTTGCCATTTTTATTTTAATTATTTTATTTTGAATCAAAATAAAACTTTGCTGTTTTTTTTTTATGTATATATTTTATTTAGAATATATGTTTGTTTTTCAGTTTTTATCCTAATTATTTTTTTTAAAATATAAATTAATTTTCGATGTGCCGTTTTAATTTAATTTTATTATAGAAAAAATAACAAATGGTTTGTTTTGCCATTTTAGAATTATAATAAAACTTTGCCCTATTTTAAAATTATTTTGTTCAGAATTTAAATAAGTTGTTTGTTTTGCCGTTTTTACCTACATTATTTTATTTAGAATATAATTCATTTCAAAATAGTTTTGATGCTAATTAAATTTTAACTTTCTGTATTTAAAATGTTTTTGTATTAATTGTTACAAAAGTTTGACCAGAAACTTCTGCCGATCAAATTTGATCGACCAGATTTGATTTTAGGCGAACAAAATGTCAATTTTTCCAAAAGTAGACGATCTTTGATCGTTGATCGGTCGCTATTTCGAGCGCTGCCAGTTACAGCAAGGTCTAGCAAGAAAATAAAAGATTTCATGTATAATAATATACTATCATGTATTATATCAAAAAAGTATTTAAAATAAAAATATTTAAAAAGTATTTAAAAATGCTCGATTTAAAGCATTTCATATAAAAAAAATAAACCTAAGTGAAGCTTAAATGGTGAAATTAAAGGAATTCGGCGGGCAAAGAAGTTGGTTAAAATAATGGTGGATAAAAGTGTGTGCATAATTTAAGACAATGAAATTGCAAGGCGGATTTTCCACAGCTTCCTGGTCAACAGTTTTACTATGAGAACAAAGATAAACCTGTGGATGATCAATTTAAATATATTTGACAAGAAAAATTTGCATCCAAGCTCCTTGTGTGGCAAACAATTGTAGCTATTGTATGCAGTCCTCTTGTTTTGTCACTAAAAAGACCTTAAATGCCAATCTCTACATCAAAAAATGCCTCTAAAAAAGACTTTTGCCATTTATGAAAAAACAAATATACCAATGTCTCTTTTGGCCAGATCTTGCTGCTTTTCACTATTCTAAACAAGTACTACACTGGTGCAAAGATAATAATGTGAAAATTTTCCTAAAGATACAAATCCTCTAAATTGTCTTAAAGAGCGCAAGATTAAAGATTTTTTGGGCAATAGTTAAAAGGAGTTCTTCTTAAGACAGGTGGAGTAATAAAAAATAAAGAGGATTTCTAAAAAAATGGATTATGCCACCAACAAGGTGAAAAAAGAAAAAATCTGCAAAATGATTGCATCAACCCACTAAAAAATTTGATCTCTTGCCAAACAGCCCATCAACCCCATTAAAAGTTGAAATTCTAATTGATGTAAACACATTTAATAAAAAAAATATAAAAGGCATTTATGGTTTTAGAGAATTCTCAATTTAAAGTTGACCCGATTTCTCCGTGTCCACCCGACACATGTATATATGTATATATATGTATATATGTATAAATATCTATATATATATATATATATATATATATATATATATATATATATATATATATATATATATATATATATATATATATATATCGATGGTTAAGAGCACAAAAGGAATACGTCCACTAACCATTGTTTTGAAAAATCTGAATTTGAAAGTTTGAAAACATACAATAGTTCATGATATTTATTTATTGTCATGATTTTTAACCAAATGCATTCCTCGATTAATTCTGTCTTGTTTTTTACTATTTTATTTTCATTTCTTTTACATACTTTAATACCTAATTTGTTTAATGTTTACCTAATGTTTAATGTTGGACATATTCCCTTTGTGCTCTTAACCATCGATATATATATATATATATATATATATATATATATATATATATATATATATATATATATATATATATATATATATATATATATATATATATATATATATATATATATAGATATAGATATATATAGATATATATACATATATACATATATATACATATATACATGTATCGGGTGGACACGGAGAAATCGGGTATATATATATATATATATATATATATATATATATATATATATATATATATATATATATATATATATATATATATACCCGATTTCTCCGTGTCCACCCGATACATGTATATATGTATATATATATATATATATATATATATATATATATATATATATATATATATATATATATACCCGATTTCTCCGTGTCCACCCGATACATGTATATATGTATATATATATATATATATATATATATATATATATATATATATATATATATATATATATATATATATATATATATATATATATATATATATATATATATATTATATATATATATATATACCCGATTTCTCCGTGTCCACCCGATACATGTATATATGTATATATATGTATATATGTATATATATCTATATATATCTATATATATATCTATATATATCTATATATATATATATATATATATATAATATATATATATATATATATATATATATCTATATATATATATATATATATATATATATATATATATATATATATATATATATATATATATATATTTATATATATATATATATATATATATATATATATATATATATATATATATATATATATATATATATATATATATATATATAAACAACTACAATTTCTGAAAGTGTAGATTTTTTGCCTTTTTTCACTTTTTTATAAGATCTAAACTTTGCTGAAAAAAGAATAATTTTTTAAGGTTGTCTTTCATAACTATTTGACGTTTAGCAGCATTTATTATTTTTCAATATGCCAAAATATAAAAATAGTTTTAGCACAAAGACTTAAAAATAAATTTTTTCAAAATCAATTTTCTTTTGTCTCTTTCTTCTACTCTTAAGTTTGTTGGCTAAGAGGAAAGAATACTGTCTCTTCTTTTCTTTGTGAGATTTTCAAATCAGTTCCTAGTTAAAAATAAATTGTTTTATGTTTGTTGAAAGTAACTTTATTATTTCCACTTTAGATTTAAGTTCCCTAAATTTTTTGAAAATTTATTTGAACAAGTTTCACAGCCCTCATGCTGCAATCATTAACTACCTTCAGATTTTTTGCCAAATGTTCAAACTCCAGTTAGTAGTCATTCAGGTTCCATGTCTCAAGAGGTGAAATATGAACCAACTCACTTTAATTATAAGTGAAATCAAGCTAGAAGGTTGAATTTATCCCAATGAAAATCTAGATTGTTCATCAGTTCAAAATCCACCTGCTGCCTGTGTACCTCACTATGGTGATTGACCTCTTCATCAGCTAGAGCCATAACAACAGTTGTAAAATCAATGTATCAGGTGTGTTTCTTCAGTGAGTCAATCACAAGTTTTGCCTACTTAGGTTTGATATCAGAGTATCTTGTCATCTGCCACAGAGCTTTTATATACTAATAATAATCCCAATTAATGTTATTTTTATTTAAACTCTGAAACATTATAAGGAATTAAAAGTAGAAAAAGTAAGAATTAAAGTTACAGTAATTAAATTTAAAATTACCTGACATGAAGTGATTGCTGGAATTTCTGCCCTG